TTAGGTGTCATGCATCATGTATGAGACAGAAAAAAAAGACAGAAATAGGGACGTGAATATATTCCCATCGCTCCATTACTAATATTAATGTAACCCGGGCAGAGGATCTCGCATCTCCCTTCCTGCGCACTCCCTTTCACTCGTAACCCACTCTCACCCCCAGCACATGAGCTTCTCGGCCGCTCTCCCTCCTTGGCATCTCGTCCGCGGAGTTGAGCTTCTTTCACACGCCGGCGGATTTAACCCCTCATCTTCCGGGTCCCTCGTCTGCTCGGGCGGGACAACCTGCCTTTAATCGCCTGTCGCGTTTCGTACCTGTCTCCTGCGCCCAGCGGGATCCAGCTCGACTGGCTGACACTCCTCTCTTGCTTTATCAATCGTCTAGCTGCCCTTCTGGCCCGCCGAGTTGGGACATAAATCAAACAACGCTCGGGCTGGATTACCCCGAACCTGGACAGGCTACTCTGTACATCGACATCCACTAATCGATATATTCTTCATTCGGCTCCGCTCACCCGTTACAACTTGTGTTTAACTCCCTCCTCGTCAAGAATCAAGATACTGAACTGTCCCCAATTGCGCCAGTCTCTTTCCCGCATCGCGTGGTAGCTGATTGTTCTTCATCCGTACTCGTCAAAAACTAGTTGCGACTTTCGGTCTTCTTTGCTCCCTGTCCCAGCTTCGATCCAGGTCTCCGCTCTGCTCGCGGCTGCACCTTACCGGAAAATGCATCGGATTTTCTGGTGCGCGCTTCGATAGCTCCATATCCATGGGGGCGTGCTGTTTTTTTTTCTGTTATGATCTTCAACTTCCGTTAAACTGAACTGCTTTGGAGGATTTCGACCATGTTCATTCTCGGATTAACCCGCAATACAGTACAGAGACCTAGCACGAAACCCACCTTTATCTTCAGGGTCTGACAGTTCGAACACGCGATCTGGATCCGCCGCTGTCGGAGCACGAACGACTGAGGAGTATCGGCTGGGGAGGACGAGGTGGCTATGTTTTGAGTCGACGAACAGAGTGGTCCATTATACAGGGTGCAAACACCTAAATGAAATGGAGCAATTCTAGTCTACCCAATAGTAACGACCAGGAGCATTGGTTGCTCATTACACCAGTTAACTGCCTCCGTGGAAATATTATTTGTGTCCAATGCGCCTCGGATGAAGCCCTACATCCACATGTGACAAGGTGGACTTGCGGATGAGACAGGGCGAAGATCGCACACCATTCACAAAGACAAATGACGCGGCAAACGAACCAGAGTTCGCGCGGAGTCCTTTCACTACGACCATCACGCGTTTGACTCGTTTGCCAACATCTGTTCAAACTGTTGTCGGATGAGAATCAGATGGCTTACAAACGGAGTTTTGCTCAATGATGGTGAGGACGGAGAGTTAAATTAGATTGTACCTCGGATCCATCAGTGGATGCGGCAGATCTGAACGGTATCCGGTTTTGAATAACCATGCACCTCCCGGGCTAGCTCGGTCGCTCCCTCTTTCGCTGCGCTGTGACGGCGGTGCCGCCAACCGCACACGATCAGAGTTCTTGACAAACATGAGCTCCGTCAAACACCGATTCCAGGAGAGCTTACAATATCCCACGCATTCCTATCCAGTAACCATAGCCGTCACAAGTTTACGCTGTGATGGTACGCAGCAGGAGCGCCGGCCGTTTCATCTGCGCCAGGCTCAGTCCTCAGTTCCGAGTTCCTGCAAGCGATGTATCATGATCAACGTGCTAAACCTATAAGGAAGGTAGCCCACCATGACCGAATGCGCGTTGGTCCCCACTGGAATTCGGCAGGTAAATAGGCGCTTCCTGAGGGGCTGCGCCTTAATGGCGGAAAAGATAAGAGAGTTCAAAGCCGCTGACCTCCTGGGATCTGATTTTTCTAGATTCAAAAGAGGGACGAGCTATCTGGGGTACCTGGAGAGGGAAGAAAGCCGGCCGAGATTAAGATAAGCATCAGGGCCACACCTTGGGCACGAGAGGCGAAGCCCTTCGAGTAGAGGACAGAGAGGCCGCACGCCGCAGAAGACAGGGCACAGCTCACTGCGTCTAGGTCCAGCGACTCCAATCTCGTGTCCCCGGGAAGCTTAGAGTATCACCCGCTGAAAAGAGAAGCGGTGAAACTCCGGAGGGAAGCTAAGATGGTAGGTGGCCAGAGACATTACCAGCAGGAGATCTGAATCTCCAATCGAAGAATTCAGAACATAAACACAACAGGAAACGCACATGTAGACATAAAGCTGAGGAAAAATAAACGCTACATCTCACGCGCACCCACAAGGTGCCGATACAGAGTGTTCGCCTCCGCAAAACGCGCATTTCGGAGGCCGGACTGTGCCATCACGGCGCTGTCCGCGTCGTTCCCGGGGTCGAAGATCCAGAGCTTAATCAGCGGGGTGTAGAATCGACAGAGCTGCGCAGCATCGTCAACAATTATCTACCAAAGGAGGGAGAATGAAGAGAGTGGACGCACATGCATCACCCCAATCGCAAACCGATCATCACACGCCCTTCCCTCCCGCTTGTCCCTCTCCGCTGTTGGAAGTCGCACTAACCATTTAACCACTGTGGTTAAATGGTTAGTGACTTCCAACAAAATGTCAACCCCGTGACGCCACGGAGTGCACCTGGGTTCGATCCCCGGGCCAGCGGACGAATTACGAATACAATTCGAATTCGACTCTCCCGCCGGTGACGGAACAGGCGCACACATTCCGGAATCCACAACCATACCACTTAGCCAGCGGGCTTCGCTAACAGTGAAGCAGCGCGAATGAAAAACCCGGTGACCCGGGGTTGACATTTTGTTGGAAGTCGCACTATAACCATTTAACCACTGTGGTTAAATGGTTATAGTGCGACTTCCAACATCCGCTTGCTCAAACCACTCCACCGCGTTGCTGATGAACGTCCCGAGTACTTCCATATGCACGAGCACCGCAATCGTGGGGTGAGAGTCGTGTAGAAGACGGCCCAGGACATCGAACGTTGGGAGCGCGGGCGGGAGGCGTGCGAGTGCGAGGAGGAAGCCGTGGGGGTCATGAGGAGCGCGCTGGATAGCGTAGCAGCGAGCGAGGGGTTGCGTGCTGCGAGCGGCGCAATGTCGGACGGTACGAGGACATCGGAGGCTGTAAGTACGGCGAGCAGGGGTGTCAACTCCTGCGAGTGTGTCAGTGTAGGTATGTGGAGATGAGAATGACGTTTACTCGCTGTTCAGAGAGGGAGAGTTAGCGTAAGGGTACGTGTGCGAGCAGCGAGCAGGAGGCACGTGGCATGCACGATGCTCATGTCCTGCTCGTTGTGTTCCTGAGTTATCCTGCGCGTGGACGCCTGCGTGTGGGAGCTCGCGGGCGCTTCATGTAAATACATTGGGTCTCTATATTTCCCATTAGACTCGAAATCTGCGTCGATGAGAGAAAAAATGAGACGTACAAATCAGATGCCGGATTATACAGCGGAGTAACGTTGAGAATTAAGCTCGAAGCACTGAAGTTCGGTGGCAGCACCGAGCGTGCCAGTGCATTGGTGAATATGGGCCAATCTCCAATGTTTTCGTCATGAAAAAATTAGGGCGCCGCCTAAAAAAGCAGAAACAAAGCGAAATTAACACACACCGTTACCATCTCCCTGGAGGATACTCCAACAGACCCAGACAAACGGCTCGTTCGACGCGATGCAGCCATTGCGCCCGGTGGCAAAGGCATTCTCACGCTCCTTGCCGAACGTCGCGAGTAGTAGCCTGACTTGAAAGGATGGATCGAAATTGAGTGGGGAGCATATAGCGAGAAGGGGGGAAACGAATTCGAAGTGAGGATCCGGTCTGTGAGCTGGTGCGATATGTAGCTGATTGAGATTCAACATCATCTAGTACGCAAGAGGACAGACAGCCTGAGCGCACACGCCTCGCACATAGGGGAATAAAGAACGGGCAATAGTGCCTCAAGAGCCAGCTGGAAATTCGATGTCGATGTCGACTGGGCGAGGCGCGCGAAGCCCGAGGTAGCAGCGGATGGGCTCGAGCGGTCGCGGGCAGTGAGGAAATTTACGACGGAGGCACGGGCGCCGTTGGCAAGGCAGAGTTCGGGCGTTGTCATCGGGATGGACGACGAGTGGACTTGAAGCTCAAAGCTTTAACAATGCTCACACTTCGTGAGAGTCCTCCCGGAGGGCAAGACGAGTTCCGACATGAGATGCATGAGAGTTGAGAGAAGGCTGAGATTGCTGAGCGGATTGCGAAGCCACGTGGCGATCACGGCGATTACCGACCGGCAACCCCTCGACCTGCCTCGACCACGACCTCGATGTTGTATAATACGTCTGGCTTGGCCATTGACAGTCTACCTGGCACTGCGGTCTTATGCTTCAACCCTCCGTCGGCTTAAGTCTCCCTGTCAATGGTGTTCCTTACGAGTGGTGGCCCTTCGAATTCGTGACTTTCGTCCGCCTTGGTCGTTCTGCAGCCCGATGCACTTGTTGCATTCCCTCCATGTCTGGTCAGAATAGTGGACATTCCATAACCCTCATTGTCACCCGCATACTTCATGAACACCTCCATTGCTCACAGCCATTCGTCCCAGTCGCAAGCACAATGCTCTTCTCACAAAATATTTTCGACTGCCCAGCTCACTGGCCGTCTCGACTGTGCTCCTCAGATCTTTACCTCCCATCCGTGATGTCAACTACATTCCGTACCGCTGAGCGCTGAGCGCCTCGGAATTTCTGTGATGTGTATTTCCCCTTGGTATTGAGGTGGTAATTGCTTATCTTCCTCCGTCTTTCTTTCACTACCTCGACATTCAATTCGTAACCCTCTTGAAGTGAAGGCTGAGGTGGTAAAATGTAGTGTTGTACCTTTGTCTTATATTCCTGTCGTCGATCTTGCAAGCTGCAAGACATTTGGTTGGCGTAGGTCAATTTAAATTTGTCAATGAGACCAGCTGCTCGCATCCCTGGTTGTTATGTTTGAGGAGGACTAAAGGAATGTCTTGGTAGTGTAATGGTAACATGCCTGCTCCAATTAGATACTTGATGATGTACGTTTCAGCGGGAGTCCCTTGTTTGATTCAAGGTCAGGACATTTACTTTTTGTCCATTGCTTTGATCATTGTCCAATGTTGAATTTGATCATTCGGTCCTCTGGTGGGGAGTGTATAAAATGGACTAATGGCGTAACGGTACAACGCGCATTGGGTTGATGACATGGTTAGCATATGAGTTCGAGTCGCGGGTATGCCATTCTCCTTCGCTTAGTAATATTTTTTTTTTTTTTCCTTCGTAAGTCACGCACTCCAACACGATTGCATCCAAAAACTTATCCTCCGACTTTCAACGCCGTACATACATTGACCTGCTATAGCCTCCCAACCTTGTCTCCTGCTGGTACTCCGAAAAAGGCTCAACAGTCTCCGAGAAAATAAAATAACATTTCCCCTCGCCCTGAAGTCCGGGCGGGGAAAAAGAGAGGACGCACAGAAGGTACGTTCACAGCTGTCATCCGCTCGCGCGCCCCGGCCACGATGCTGCAGCGTGTCAGGCTCCGCTCACATGTATGAGTGAAGGTAGGAAGTGAAAGCGTACCTCAGCACGGTCGTGGCGAGCGCCACTTGCAGCAGCTGGCGGAACACGTTGAGCGCAAAAGCGACGACGACGGCGCCGATGCTGAGCCCGCCCGCGGCGGGCTGGACGTCAATGAAGCCGCCAAGAAGCACGACAGTGAGGAGTGACGCGTACCAGAGGACGACCCGGTCGATGAGGCGCCCCATCAGTTGGCCCCAGCTTGCCTACGAGACCGAATAGGCCAACGTCCAGTCACCGGGCAGACAGGGAAATTGTATGGAAGAAAAGCGCGCACGTGTCGTAGTAGTAGAGCGGCCCGCCGAGGATGAACGTGAGCATCGGAAGTTGGTGAACGCCCCGCTTATCGCAAAGTGTGAGAAGACGCCTCTGCACGAGTGCAGGGTACGCCGCCATCGGGAACAGCGCCCCCGCCGATGCCGATGTAGTACGCCCTGCGCCACGAGGCGAATTGGTCGATGACGCACGAGTGTACGTGTACGGTGCTAACCCAGGCGATGTCCGCGACGAGTGGTTGCGGCCGTGGTGAGGACGAGAATGATTCTAGGGGCAAGGGACGCACCTGTTAGCCATCCCGAAGCTGAAGGTTGTCCGCTACATCTTCTCAGCGTGACTTCATGTAATCCCGCGTCGTAATCTTGCCATCCCAGAGACGAAACGATTGAGTATGGTGGTAGGAGAGAGGGAGGAAGAGATGAGCCAATCACAAAGTACCGCGAAACTAGCGGGAAGGGCAACGAGGATGGCGTCCGCGTCGTCAGAGTTAGGTGCAAATTTGGTCCAGGCGCTAGCCACGTGTCGATGCCGCTGATTGCCGAACTCTGCTTCCCACCACAATTGCGCCACAACTTCCTGCCGCCTAAAACTCGACGAAGGCTATTCTTGGATTATCTATGGGCCAACCCTCAGTCCTCCTGCGGCTACTTAACCCACGATATCGCAGTAGCCGCTGATCCACGCAAGTTCTCTGTCTCCAAGCTCGTCGACGGCGACGCTAACGCCTTCTCGACGACGTCTTCCCAACGTCTTCCCAACGTCTTCCCGTCTGTCCAACTTCCCGTGGTCTTTAGTCGTATCTTGTGGTTTTTCTCTACAACTTCTGCGATCGAATAGTCGTACTACCACTCAGCCAAAACGGTCCGGGGTTAGCCCATCGGCCGTGTAATCCATTCCCGTCTTATATGTACATGCACAGGAACCTCTCTTTACTCGCCAACGCTCCCTCGGTCAGGGACACTAGCAGCTTCTGCCTCGAGCCCCAACCCCCATACGCCTCCTCTATTCCGTCCTTCATCCACACCCCACATCATGCGCATCGCTGCGTATTTTGGCCCCCGGTCCAGTGGGACATCAATCTCGCTGTTACGGGGCGGGCCCCGCGTCCCGGTGCAATTCTACGCTTTCGGCCGGGCGTGCTTCACTTGTCCAATTTCGTGTCCCATCTCACGCTCGGGGCATCCCCCATCGCCGTCGATCTTCTCAAGGTATTCGCGCACGCTCCAAGGTCCTCTGTCCGATTCACGAATCCTTTTTTTATTGTCATACTCTAGAGCACCAGAATCCCTCGTCAACGCTGAGAGTCCCATGTATCCCCGTCCATCGAGCTGCAGCCGCCACCTCTCCTTCTTCCCTGGCGCCCGTGTCTCGTGCACACGGACAACCCGCGCCGTCAGCCTATCTCCTGCGTTCGCCCGAAAACGTGTCCCTCGTAATCTTCGGTTGGTCTTCCCTTCAACCCGCCAACTTCTTCGTCAGGTCGGTAGCACTCCCCCAAATATTCTCCTCCATCTCCTTATGTGCTCAACAGCAATTTCGCCGCTAACCGCTGGATTTAACCATGCCTGCAGTTTCTGGATGGTACCACCAGTGCTGACGAGCGGAGCGCCATTATTTCTGATCTGTCTATATCGTGAGCGTTCTGAATATTTTCCGGCGTCCTCAAAGTTGCCAGATATAACTTGTGCAACAGCAGGGCCCACCCTCGATTCACGCGCTTGGCCTAAACTGAGGGCATCGAATCAAGATACCTACGCCCGGCAGCGTCGTGTACGCTGGTTCATACTGATCTTCATTCTGCTCGTGCTTTTCGGTCTGCGTATTCTCTCCTTTGCCGGGCACTACGCTGCACGGCTACGACGAGGTCCTTCAGGGAAATACTTGGGCCGCCAATGTCGTCTACGGCGTCACTTCCTAATCTCCGCCCTTCTAAACGGCTGTTTCTCCTCCGCAACTTGTGACGCACTTCGCCTACTGTGGACAAGCTCTCCTGCTAGGCTCTTCTGAACCGCGATGCGACTTACCTCGACTGGACGGAACACCGAGTACCTGGGGCCTTTAACCTCACTTGTCATCTAGCATCAGGCAACGCGTCAGATGCGACGTGGTTCAGGAAATCGGCCGCTAGCATCACGTGGCATCATTCGCGCGAGATCTGTCGCCACATTTCAACTCGCCAAAGATGAGGTGACGCAGCCGTAGCCCCAGCTATCAGAGCATTCATATTTCCGAAAGATGTTCTGTGCTCTCGGCGCGTAGGAATTATTCACACTGAAAACCGCTGGAGGTTCCAAGATTTCCTCACTCCGGCGCGCGGCCGGGAGAACGATGAACTGAAACGGAGAGATGATGCTCCTCAGGCGTATGTGTCAACTCTGGCAACGCGCCTCGCTCCGGTGTCTGGAAAGACCCCTATGGTATCACCCGACTCGAAGCGGTCAGCTATGTCCTATGAGTCCTTTATTTATCTTGTTTGAGACTGCGCCGTCTGGGGCACTGACGCCATACTTGGTCCAGGGTGTCGTCATTTTTCGATTGAACGTCCCCTGGATCGTCCATTGATCCATCGCCCTTCGCACGTTCACAGTCGCATACCTCCTCGAAGCTCGGAGGCTGACGGGAAACAATTTCTCTGTCGGTGTCTTAGGCACTGACAATTTTCCTGTGAACACTTGGCGTTCGATGAACATCGCCCACCCATCCTTGCGTCATAGTGCACACCAGCTCAAATCGGCGCATTTAGCCAGGGGTATCGTGTCAGAATGAGCGGCTCGGTAGCGGTGGGACCACACCTACTTCCTATTGGCTCGTTGTTTTCCTTTCTGCGGGGCCTCCCGTTCGACTTCGGGATTCGGCCATAACCAGTCATACATCTGGCTTTTCTCGTTTGACTCTTGCCCTTCCTGTTCACGTTTTCCTCCAAGGTTTCACATTTGCGGAACTTGAGCGCGACATGAATTCATGTACACGGTTGAGTGAATTTCGCAGTCCGACTCACTCCAAACAATACACTGATTTTGATACGCAGCTTCATCCCTGGTCCGCCACTACACCTAGCGGAATTATTTGGACCCGAACGGAATTCACTCTGAGCTATTGAAGTCTTGTCGAGGTTAAATATCGGCTCGATGGCAGTGGCACTGGCGCCGCATCCCAGGTCACCGGGCATTCTGTGAATACGTATTATCTGCCGGTTCGACTGGGATCGAGCCCTAAGAATCTTCGCATGGTTTGTTTTTTTCATTATTTGAATAACAGATAGGTGGGTTACTCCGCCCGTTCAGATTATTCTTGATTAGTTGAAACTATGATGCCTTCGGCCCGAGGCCAGCGGACGCGGTTCAAAGTTGGCACCTCATTTTGCCTGTGGGCATAAGAAGCAGACATCCTCCATGGGGACATTCCGAACAAGAATTTCCGCTTGGGCCCGGTGCGTCCACATCCTGGCTGGAGCACGACCTAACTCGGAATTTGACTCAGTATACGGTGGTTGAATGAACAATGGGAGGACCTCGCCTGTGTTCACCTTGAACTCGGGATTGACGGGTACACACCTCATGCTCGCTGCCCTGTCAGCTCCGAAGTCATTCAGTGCAAAGGCTAGCACAAGCTCGGAGGTTCAACGTTCAACTTCAAGCTCAAGCTGACTCAAGAGTGCAGTTGAACGAGGAGTACTGACGGCGCTACTGCTAAGACTCTAACCTGTCCAACCCGTACGATGGGACGGATCTTTACGGCCGTTTTTCGCCTGACCCGACCCGTAGCCGTCCCGTATAGAATCTCCTGCGCAGCTCCAACATCCGGAGAGTTTCAGTGTCATTGTGGTGGCGTGTTGATCTTGGGGGATGATCGATGATCGCCGGCAATCACCGGTGCTCCTTATCTTTGTCCTCCTGGTTCCGCGTCTAGCTCGCTCACCACCTTCCAAGACGCTCGTCGGCAAAATCCAATGCTTCAGCTCACACTCGAGGATCCTGCGGAGCCTGCTCCCGGCGTTCCCGATCCATACGCCCATGCTGCCGCAACACTCGAGCAAGCAACGCGCGCTACCCCGAAACTTCCCCTGATGCCTGTCGCCGTTGCTGAGAAGCAATTCGACACTCTTAAGGCCGAGATCGCGACCTTGACCCAGGCCAGCGAGAGTCACCGCGCGGCCCTGGATTCGCTGCGCACAGTCGCTGATGCCGCCGCGCAGGAGCGAGATGTTGCTCAAGCGGATGTCCGGGA